TTTTTAAAATTTTTAAATTTAATTTTTACTTAGTAAAAATAATAGATTTAATGAAACAGTGATTGTTTTATTTTGTATTTTTACGTTGATTCTCTACTTTAAAAAAATATTATTTAGGTAAATATTTTTTTAATGGAGCTGATTTCCCTATCACACCTCTTGTTGTAAACCAAATTAACTTGTCTAAATTGCAACAATTACAACAAAACCTGCAATTCTTTGTTCTTCGTGTGGGATTGTCCCTAATCACAATAATTTTCCTGTCTACCAACTCCACTTCCTTACTTTCTTTCTAATCGTCTTTCTATTCCAGCCCGAAGGATCTCGTAAACCTTGGTCTCCATCGGAGGAGGGTGAGAGCGCTCTCTCCCGTTCGATGCGTTATGCCGACCCCTGGCTCTACGGCAGCGTGCGCGCCCCAGGTGGCCTAGTCCTCGCCCCCGCTTTCGTCCTCTGCACTTGCTCCGACTACGTCAACGGCACAAAACGCTCCTCGAAGAAGACCCCCACGTCATGCAAAAAGTGCAAAGGCACTCGCTTGCCCCTCTCCGAGAGCAAATTCGGAACGGTGCGATGCTACCCCACCTCCAGCACCCCCACCCCGACGCGGGCCGGCACCATGCGCGTGGTGGGCTCCTCCAGGCCCTCCATCCTGCCCGACCCCTACGACCTCATGCGGAGGTCGCGCCTCTCCTCCAGGTCGGTCTCCCCTCGGGGGCGCCGCTCCATCCTCGAGTGCGACATCAACCCCTACGAGCTGATGGAGGCCCCCCGCGACGCCAGCATTACGCTAGTTAACGGCCAAAGAATCCGCGTGAGGCCCCCCACGGCCGAGGAGGTGCAAGTGAAGAGGCCCGCCCCCAAGGTGCCCCCCAAAAAGGCGCCAAACGAAAAGGAATCTGAGTGCAACCGGTTCAAGTCTATTTTAAAGAAACCAACAACTTTCAGTGACACGGATTCGAATAGCCGTGAGCACAGCCCCTCGCCCGCAAGCAGAAGTGGGTCACACTTTTACCTGCCAATGCCCGGCAACACACCCAGGAAAAAAGTGCAGTTTTTGGTTGAAAATGAACTTGATTTGGACCAAAATCGAAAGGATGAGGAGGAAATGTCAAACGAGGAAGGACAAGGTAGGGGGGACCTTGAAAATCGAGTGAAATTTGTGCGCTCCAAAGATTAGAAATCTTTTAGCAAATTTTATGGAAACTGAAGCCGGCTATTAATATTCATACTAATTAGAATGGAGGGTGACTATAAAAACACAAAATGGAATTTCTTATTACGTGAACGGAGCTTGCATAAAATCAAGAAACGGCCTAAATTATTATTGCAATAAGGAAGTTCACGATTTTTGACTTTCAAAATAAAAAAATTGTTGCTTCATACTCATCAACATAAACAAGTGTTGACAAATGTTAAGAAAACAATCAAGTTGTAGGTGGACGCTGGTATTTATGAAATTGCATCATTGGTTCCATTTATAGGAATTACAAATTTTTGGATGATGTTGTTGTTATTTTGTTACTGAAGCAATCATAGAAAACTTTTTTAGACAAAAGTTTTGCTTGAAAAACATTTCTCTTATATAAGAGAAAATAGGCTCTAGCAGTAACTTTTTGTACATCCTCTCTCTTATTAAAAGCTTTTACTAGATTTGGCGTAATTAGAACATTTTGTCGTTAAATTACTTGAAAGGCAATCAAAGTGTGTGATTTTTTTCACACGAACGGGTAAAAATAAAACGATTATTTACTTATACAGGGTGTTTTTCGAGCTCGCTTTTTTAATTTTGATCAGCATGTAAAATTTGATCATATCGTGTAATCAGGAACAAAAACACTTTTCAAAAATACAGAAATCAAATATGGTATCCATAAGAAAATCCAAAGTTGAGTGTTGTAACTTATATATCAAGAGCGCCTTGAAAAATACGAAGACAGATTTAGATTTCTTGTAAAAAAGTGCCTTAAAAACGTCTTAGTTAAAAATTACAAATTTCCGTTTTTTTTCCAAATAATTCAAAAACTAAAAATTACACATTAAATTTTCTTTCTGTTGTTCAGCATAAAAATGCGCAACTTAGCCTTAATTTTTGTCATTTTTATTATTAAGCAAGTTCTCCTTTATTTCCAAGTATGTTTGTGGTAAATAATCATTTTTAAAATATTTTTGGGTTTATTTTTTACCTTGATTGTTACTTAATTAATTTTTTTTTTGATAATAATAGAGGCTTTTACACTAAACGAATCTGTACCTGCTAGCGCATCAAAGGCGGATTCAGGGGAGGGGCCCCCCCAAACTTGCCACCAAAAGCTTCAATTTTTTATATTTAAATTTTGATATAAACACCTTATGACCTAAAGTTTTTTAAATGGAAACATTAGAATTCTTTTTAAATTACACTTATTAATACAAATTATACATATGTATACCGAGAGATCAAGATAATTTGTAATTGAGTCATTTTTGGATCCAAAAAATACTTATGACCGTTCTTTTTTAAAGGTAAATCATAAATTTAATTATATCTGTTTGAATAATGAACTTTATCAACTCCTAATCCAGTGAGTGGAAAAATTATGGAATTATTTTATTAAAACTACAAATATTTTG